TTGGCGGCAAGCTCAAATGGATTTCGAGCGAACGGCAGTACGCCGACTCCCTCACCAAGGAGGCAACCAGACAGCTCCTTGCTGACCACTTGAGGTATGGACGCATCAAACTGTCCTGGGATCCCAACCACATCGCTGCCAAGAAGAAGAAGCTTGCAGACAGAATTGCAAGCCGAGATGAGTTCTCCAAACCTCTGGAGACTGTCCCAGAAGAGACTGAGCTCAATGAAATAACTCCCATCGAAACCTTTGCTGAGCACCATGAACGAATCATCTATGAGGCCATCACCTATGACGAGATCTTGGAAGACCACGACATGGCTGTTACAGCCCCAGCAGAGCTGCGTCGTGACCATGACGTGAACATCAACAACCTTGTGCCGATTGTGTACACGCAGGTTGACCTCGTCCCCTACGACCAGGAGACACAGTATGTGGATGACTGGATGATTTTTATGGTTCATGCATTGCTGCGCTTTGCCCTCAAGCTTGCGTTGCTTGCTTTATGGCTGCCACCTGGTGCTATGGCTCAACCTCTGGGCGATCCCATCTCAACCGAGATGTGCCCCCACATCGAGATCATTCCCGAAGAGAAGTCCTACTTCTGGGACTACGTCTGGGACACAGCTGTGCTCCTAGCGTTGCTGATCTTCGTGGCTGGCACATACATCATGGGTTGGATGCATGGATGGTGGATTGGCCACAACCACGTTTTGAGGTTGAGGCATATCCGAAGCGACCGTTTGGAAGCTCGCCTTGAAGAGAAGACCATCGAAAACCTGGCACTGAAGGGCGAGGTGGAAGAACTTGTGAGACAGGTTCAGCAACTGAGCTTACCTGGTGGACCAATTCTGGCCGACCGTGAGGTCAAGCGCTTGCAGCAACAGCTTCGATGTTTGGAAGATAGCTTCTGGCAGAAAGACCAACAGTGTGCATGCATGCAGAGGCACAAGATGGGCTACATACGCCAAATAGGAAGGTTGAGGGCACTCTTCATAGAGGCCAAGGACGTAATTGGACGTGCACGTTCAGAAGCCCACAACCATGCTCTCAATCGATGCACAGTTGGAAGGCCTACGTACCATGCTCCTCGAGGACGTGTCTGGCACTTGGATGATCAATGCTATCAGCTTCACAACAGCCAAGTGATAGAAAGGTATGCGTGCGACAACTGCGCGTCATACTATGTGACACCTTACATTCACGACCTGAACCAGCGAACGTTGGCCCAGGACATGGACGCCTTCATGGCAAATGGCATCAGCGATGAGGACCCTGAGGTCTTGGCTGAAGCGTCAGTGATACTGGATGAAGAGGCACGAATGAGTGCGCTTGGTTCTTCGAGCAGTGCTGGCGTGTGACCGCCATTTTCCAGAGAAGCCAAAGGAGCTCTCTTTTTCTTTTGTACCTTTTCCCCCGTGTGAAGTTTGCAGCTGCAACTTGTGCACCAGGGATCTTTACATACATGTCATGTTTTCCCGCTGCTGTTTTACAACTCAACAGTGGTGGGCAGCTTAAGCCAACCCGTGGCGAACGCCTGGCGGCTCTTCTTGGAAAAGACCGCGGCGCCTTTAGGCGCACCGTTTTCTGGGTGTGGACTTCGTGGGCCATAACCCCGATCTTAACATAATATAATATAATATTATATAATATAAAATAACTTATATATTGCTGGATATATTCTGTAAAAATTTGAACCATTTTAATTATTTATAAATTTAAATTTATATTTTGGAATTTTATCTGAATCTGGACCAACCTTAATGGAGAATCAAAAATCAATGGAAAATATATTTAAATATTTTATAATAAAAAATAGGTTAAAATAAAAATATATAATTTTTTATTAAATAATATTTGAAAATAATTATTTTAAATTTTTAATTTCATTTCCTGGTAATAATATTTACTAGGGAAAATTATCCTAATTTTTTTCCGTATATCCCAATTTCCATTTCCTCAAATTCCTAAATTTCTCCATCTTATTATTAGGGGAATTTCATTACTAAATACGGATCCTTAATTCAATTAAAATATAATATCTAAATAAATTTTCAAAATATTTCAAATAATTATTATATTAATTATTTTTATTTATTTAATTTTTCAATAAATAATTATATATATATATTTTTTTTTTAAATTAAAACATTAATTATAAATATTTAATTCTTTTTCTCATAATATTTACCAAATACAAATAATATAACCTTACGATTTCCATCAAATTTCAAAAATTATCCTTTCAAGAAATTTACTATCAAAATGCTCAAACCTATAAAATAGCAAAAATAATTTATGCAAATAATTTCATTTAATTAATTATAAAATTATTTTATTTTCTTCCTTAAAATTTTTATGGAAAAAAAAAAAATAAAAAAATATCATATATTTTATAAAATAATATGTATATATATTATTCAAAATAAAATTATTATATATTAAATTTATATTTTTAACAATAAACATAATAATTTTAAATATTTTTTTTTAAATTTTAAATAAAATTTAATTATTAAATAAAAAAACAAAAATCTAATAGAATAAGATATATTTAAATTAATTTAAATTTAAATAATAATTAATAATTATATGGGTTTCAATCAAAATTCCTTTATCCGGGAATATATATTTTTTTTTTTTCACGAATAAAATTTATATTTTCGAGAAATTTTATCGAATTCCATGTTAAATAAAAATAATTTTTATGAAAAATCGTTCTCCACCTGCCAAATTACGCCAGAGAATTACGGATCATTTCTTGATAGCCTTTTAAATATGCGGCTAGCATATGCTAGTATCACGGAATCCCTTCTCAGGGCAGATTGTTGCTGATTAGATTTTTTTTGGCAAGGTTTACTGGCCCACCCCCTTCAACATGCACTTTGACTCTCGCCCGCTCTTTCGCATAACTTTCGCGAAAATATCCCTATTCACAGACCCCGGCCATCAGCAGGGGGTGCATTGAAGGAAAAGCGAACACCAGGGGCCTTGATGTTTGGCTCTCGCAAAGCCTCACTTTTGGAAACTGGGCTACTGCGTTTGGAGCTTGTTTCTTGAGACTTCAAAAAGCATCATCAGGCAGTGACAGCGGCAGGTGCAAGGATGTGCTTCAGGACCATGGCGTTTGGGTGTCGCGAAGCCTCGCCTTTGGAAGCTCGGCTGCTACCTATGAAGGGTGTGATTGTCCTGAAGCACCACCACACAGGGAACTGAACCAGAACCAAACCGAAATTCTCTAGTGCCCTTCTCCTGCCGGACCCCGGGCGGCAGTGGGTGGCAGCCCTTTACATAATGATTATAATATCCAACTTTCGCGAAACTTTCACGAAAAAAAATGTTACTTTCGGGAACTCGAAAAAACACTTTCGCGAGGGTTTCCAACATAACATGCACTGCTTTCGCAATTAAAATCCTTACAAGGACCTTTAGATCGATCACCATATCTAATTATCAAAATAGGTATGACAAAAGCACGGCGCAGAGATTTTGAACTGCAATCGTCAGAGCTATAGGGCAACGAAAACGATCTAAACATACAACTTCAATTTCAATTGATCGGTTTTGAAACCAAAACTGTCCCATTTTTCCTCCTTAAAATCTCTACATAAAAAGCCTGTTTTTCGAGCTTTTTGGTGCTTATCTGGAGGGGGACGCTGTAGGCCTTACAAAGGGTTGTACACGTGTGTGTTACTACAAAATACAGTGCATGACAAAAGCCATCCAGAAACTAGCATCGAATCTGTGCTTTGTGGGTAAAAACAACTCTGAACATGAATTCTTTGAACTTGGGAGAAACTTGACTATTGGACAAAAAGAGTAGGAATCTAGTAGAATGGGATACGTTTAGATTATGATTGGTAATCGAATGTAATCGCCAAAATAGATGTGACAAAAGCACGGCACATATATTTTGAACTGCAATCATCAGAGCTATGGGGCAACAAAAACGATCTGAGCGCACAACTTACAGTAAGTTTCAATTGATTGGTTTTTAAACCAAATCAGTTCCATTTTTCCTTCTTCAAATCTCTACATTAAAAAATCATGTTTTTGTTCGATTTTTTTGGGGCTCAACTTACTACGAAATAATCGTGAGTGGTGTGAGGGTCCAAGCCATATGTTAATATGACCCAGCATGACTGGCAAAAGAAGGCTATAGGGTTTCCTGTATGACCCAATGCATCCCAACATAAATCACTACAAAATGTATTTCCGATTTTCAAGTGCTAAGTTCGAAAAATGAAAAGCCGCTACAAGATTCAGCGTATACTCTCTGACATATCATGATAATATCCATCAATCTTATATAATAAAGAAAGACACTACATTTTTTTTCACGCCGACTCATTCGGTTCGTCTTTGACGACATTGCCGGCACGGCGCCTTCACAGGATAGGACATAGGAGAATCACGCAAAACAGAATGAAACCACTGAAACCTCTGTTCATTTTCACACCAAAATCCTGGGGATCTGAGCTCGTGGGCTGTTTCGCGCTGTCCTTCAATCGCTTCCTCGTCTTTTTCTTTCCTCGGCGTATCAAGGCATATAATTTCCATGTATATCCATGTTCGTTTTTTGCCTGCGTGAAGACACGGCATATCTTCTGCATTGGCAGAAAAGGAATAGGTTGATCAAGTGCAATCGGACAACGATGAGACTTTTTTTGCTGCAGTGCATGCAAGCGCTTGTGCATTGCAAGCAAGTCTTTGAAGGGACTAGTGCCCAGGAAGGAGACCCAGGATATTTTCATACCCTCAAGGGTATGCTGGGAAGCGTTAGCTGACACCATGCCTTGTGGTCCTTGTGTCGGGCAACAGGCGGTGCCAAGCCTGCCAGTGGGACTCAAGGCCCCCTTACAGCCTTCGCGCCATCTCCAAAGCCTGAGCACAAAGCACTGCACAAAGCGTCTTTTGATGTCAACGTGATAGGACATGATGGGACCTCTGCAGCATGTTCACAAGCACTCTGAGCCACAGGCTGCAAATCAATTCAAGTCTCACAAATCTTGCCGCTCATCTGTGCCAAGAGCAACATCATGCAACATGCCTATCTTTTGCCAAACCATTTGGCATCACTGATGTCCATTTGAAGATGCCTCTTGATTAGCACTGCTGGGGCCTGTGAAGACCTGGGCAATGGCGTCCTCGCAGAAGCACCACACGCTAAAAGAAGGCTCTTTGGTTTCGTGTGCTGTTGGATCTGTTGGTCATGTCGTGTGCAATGCGTCATTTAAATTCATTTAACATATTTTAACATCAAATATTAAGTGGACTTAATTAAATGAATCTCTTCACTCAAATCTCAGGATCAAGTATCCTTTTGTGCAGCCGTCAACGTCTTTGGAAACTCCACTGACACCTCCAGAAGCAAGACTCTCACGTGAACAGGGGACAGGTGGGTCAAAGTCTGGATAGGCAGCAGGTCAAACAGAAGCTGCACTAATAACCAAAGGATACAGATGGATACAGTGCCAAAAGGACACCCCTGCGAAGTCAAAAAGGAATGAGGAATGAATACACTGAATACACACCGTTGACAGTGGCAGTGGCTCTGCTTGGCTCTGTTTTGGCATCCCTTTGGCACCTTCACATGCAAGTCACCAAAGCTTGCTGGATCATCGCGCAGGGGCATGCCCTCTCCACGCATTCTCACCACCTGTCCCAGCGACAGCCGGCGCTGGAACGGGGGCAGCCTATGACGTGTCTGCCTGGAGGTGCTTGGTGACATCTGTCTGCTTCACTTCCACGGTATGTCCTGCTGATTTCTGGATCAGATCTCCAGGACATTATGAAGTGATTCAATGATCAGGACTAATGACATCCAATGATTGTACACAGATGAAGTCCTCACATCCTCTTGATGCAAGCTTGAACACTGCACTGATCATCCCCCCCACTTTGCGACAGTGTGATCGCCCAGTCCATCCAAGTGAGTGATCGTCCGGGACCAGCCAAGAAGGGATTCGCGCAAACTGATGGTCAACTCCTTGGCAAATATTCACAGCTGATTACCGAATTCCGCGAGTCGCTGCCCAAGTGTGAGGCATGTAAATATCATAAATATCCTCCTTGAGGGCTAACATTGAAAATTCAGGGACGCTGGCAAGCAAGCATTCAAGGCCAAGGCAGTGTGAAGGTCATTCCCATTTCGCTGGAATTTGGGATGCTTTTTTGCCTGGGCAGGTCACATCCGGATCAGAAACTACGCCTGTGGAAATGCAGGTGGCTGGACTCTGGCCTTCAGCTTCAAGATGACGCTTCCTGGCAACATGCCTGGCCGTTCCTGACTCAGATCATGATATCACTCACAGTGGATTACCACATATGATATCAATACATATCACAGCTTCCGTCTTGGAATAAGGGTACCCCAGTGAGAAGAATTTGAAGCATTACCTTTGCAGAATGCGCGTGGGTACGTCCTCCGCCATTCGCGGGAAAGTAACGGTATCACCACTTGTCATCCCCTTCCTTAGTCACGCAATACATCAAGAAAAGGCAAATCATTCTGTGGTAAAGCTGGAAACTGCATGTTTTACTTGGCACTTGTGACATCATATTGATCAATCTGTATTGACACAGCAAGGCCCGTCGGCCCGTCGGCGGGTCTACATAAATGCATGAATCAACTGTAAAATTTGTAGAGTTATTGATATACATATCTTGGCTAATTATTCCTAGCTGTGTTAAAGCACATGTCGTGTTACACTGTATGTATCTGTCTGTACGTTCTCCACTCCAGCGCTGCAGCCGAGTGTCTCAATGTGAACTTCAAGTGGCGCATCAACTTGTTTGCACTTTTCCTTCCAGAAACGTCCAACTGAAACCAACTACATCGACTACTCTCTGGGAGTCGTGAAACATCCTCATGCATCCATATTATTAACCATATTAAAACCCACAACCCGAAATGTGAACATACAACTGCCCCAACAGGCTATTATACGCTTGTAGTAGTCACCTCTGCCCGTCCAGATTCAAGCCTGAAAATTGCAGCTATCTGTCATCCGTCGTCCATTTAATTTCACGTATTTCCACTCACTCTTGGCCTTGCTGGGAACTTCCTGTTGCTGTTGCGTGAGGAAGGGGCCCATTTGTACCTGCACTACCTCAGCTGCTAGCACGACTTCCATGTCACAACATCTCAGACTCGAAGTGGAACTGCCCCCAGAGTTTCAGCAGCCAGTTATGATTGCCTTGCTGTGTGGCTCAGCCAAAATCCCATGGTTTCAACACTGCAAACTATCAGTTCACTCAATTTGACTGTGGCAAACATCGGTTCCTGTCTTTGAGGTAAGCACTTTGATCTGATTCTTGCACCTTCCGCAGCCCTTAAGCCAGTCAAGACTCATTCATGCACAGTCAAGAACGCATCTGAAGCCTCCCCGCCTTGCAGTTCGGAGATGAGGGGTTCTTGCGGCATCCCCTGCAGACCTTGGCTCTTGGCTGGCTTCCCTTTCGTAGCCGCTGAGCAATGTCCACGCTGAAAAACCTGAGCCTGCCACAATACCTCGTTTTACCTGAAGAAGAAAGTTAGGCACTGCGAAAGGGCAAAGGACTCTAATGGTACACTGCGTGCCATCCTGCATCATCCTGCACACCTTGCATGCTTTGCTGTTGGACTGCTTCCAACCATGACTAGTGTGATGGGCAGGCAGGGTATCTTTGTGCCAACTCCCATGAGCAATCATATACGCATACATATACACACGCAAACACACACACACATCAATACATAAAAAATACGAAAAAACATCAAACACATAAACGCACACACACACACACACACGCATATTTACAATAAATGACCAGAGAGACACACACACATACACATATACGATATGTATATTACATATGCGTGTGTAAATAAATGATATACACACTCGGACACATAGTTGGGCTGCGATCCTGCCTTATAGAAGTACTTCTCTCCCACAACTGCTTATGGCTTGTAAAAGTCATGGCGGAATCGGAGGATGTTCAAGGACCTTTCATAGAGGCCTGTTGTATTTTGAAAACATGGTGAACTTTATCTAGCCTTAGGTTTTAGGTACTACTGGTAGTTGAATGAAGCATGTGCTTTCGCAGCTGGCACAGGGCTGCCATGTCGACACAAAATCTGCGCTTGACAGGTGGCAGGAGCTTCGTTGAGCTACACTGGAAAGTGAAGCAAAGCAAATACCTTGAATTGCTGCCCCCATAGATGCTGGCTGAGGGGCAGTTGCCTGGAACTGACTGCCAAGATAGAGGTCCTCAAGGTTTACTTGGATCTCCTTAGTTGTCAGCCACTACCTTTATCAGAACTTAGCCATGTAGTAACAATGTAGTAAGCAACTGTATCTTGAAAACTTCGGACAGTATTTAAGCCTTGTTTCTGCATGCTACTCTTCGCTTTGCTACACTCAGGGTGATTTTGGCAACTGTTGGAATATCAGCATTAATCAGCCATCTCTATCCGCCACACTTGGCACAACCAAATATGCCGCATTCGAACTTGCACATGCATTAGGCAACTTTATATTCACATATATATAGTGTTCAAGGCAAAGCCCCATCCTAATTTTCAACGCTGCGCTCTGAAGGCAGTTTGTTCAAAGCGATGACATCTATGGATGTCAAAGCAACGGAAGGGTTCCAGTGGACAGCTGCACCCCACAGGCAAAGCCCCAACATCTAAGAACCACCGCTTTGCTGCAAGGGGCAAGATGCACACTAGAGACCCAGTGAAACCTAGCAAAGCAGCAAGTCCTCTTGGGTGCAACCCCCCAGGCCCAAGCCCACCAAGCAACAAGCACCCAGACACCGGTGTCCCTCCCCAGGGTGGAGGTGGGGAAAGAGGAGGTTGAAGCTGAGGAAATGCTGCGGATAGGGCGAACATGCCATTCACACTATCATTACGGGGGACCATTAGCTAGTGTTCAAGGCAAAGCCCCATCCTAATTTTCAACGCTGCGCTCTGAAGGCAGTTTGTTCAAAGCGATGACATCTATGGATGTCAAAGCAACGGAAGGGTTCCAGTGGACAGCTGCACCCCACAGGCAAAGCCCCAACATCTAAGAACCACCGCTTTGCTGCAAGGGGCAAGATGCACACTAGAGACCCAGTGAAACCTAGCAAAGCAGCAAGTCCTCTTGGGTGCAACCCCCCAGGCCCAAGCCCACCAAGCAACAAGCACCCAGACACCGGTGTCCACCTCTCCCCAAACTAGCAGGACACTGCTGCTGTAAAGGTAGCATACTCAAGCATTGACTCGAAGGAGAGATGAGAGGACCTGAAAGAAGAAAGTTTACGAGTCACAGCGGGGGGAAACAGGGGGGGAACAAAAGACTTATGAGTCAAACTGGAAACCAGGGCGTGCTCGCTTGGCAAGACGCAAAAGATTACGTTGAACTACTGGCTCCAGTTGAATCTCAGTTAACTGCGCAAGTGCATCTGTGAGATATATTCTGGCAGTTTTAATGCTGTTCCATCTGCCCACAAAGCAAACTCGTGAGAGGTCATTGGTGGCCCGAAAGAAATGGGTCGCACCGCCTCGACGGAGCGAGTACCATTGGTACCCCTCAGGAAACTTCAAGTCACTCAGAAGACTTTTAAGACGGGAGCGCATAATTCCGGGGGAAACACTCCGCAAATAATCCCCTGGAGAGAGGGCTGACATGTAGTTAGCCAGTGCCACCACCAGCCAGCTATCGTCAATGACTAAAGATTCCTGAGCTCCGACTCTTTGTCCGCTTTTGGTCAAAGGAAGGGACCAAATGGCCTTGGTCTTGGTGGTATTCCAAGTAAAGTCTCCTCTCTTAGCCATAAAGAGCTCCCAAGACCGCGCAAATCTGTCAAAACCCAAAAGGACGAGGACAGCAAGATCAGACCAGCCTTTGTCAAATGCAGCTTGAGCAAGGGCATAAACCATCACAGGCAGAAACGGTAGAGCACGAGCAGGCAACTCCGCCCTAGTCCAACTCCCATGCAGTCGCCAGGCCCCCACCAAACTTCGCTTGCATTGCGGAACAAAATGCCCCAGGCCAGACAAACAATCGCTAGCATACGACTTAGGGTCCCCATTATGCCACAAAGCTTCAATGAATTCACAAACTTTTGCATCTAGACTTGAAAAGGAAGAAGGATAAGTGAAACCATGACTTCGCAAGAACAGCAAGAAACGTGAAACAGCCTCCAAATATCGATCCCGAGTGTTTTTAGCCACAACCAAGTCTTTTAGACTCCCCAGTGCCTGCCTGTCCTTTTTTCTTTCGACTCGGCCCCGTCGGCCTAAGACCTGTTGTCTAGGCATTGCGACGACGCTTGGCCCATCTACTGGGCCCATCAGCTGGGTTCCACTTGCTCTTGATCCATCCGAGGCAGAGTCGAAAGTGTGCGGCTAGGCATACGGCACTGATGCGGCGTAGGGGACCTTGGAGGGCTCGAGCGGAGCTGCGTCCCTTCGAGAGGCAGCTCATTGCAACTTGGTTGTCCACAAGTGTGATCAAGCGTTGGTCATGATGCTTTGGATCGCGTCCTTGCCGGCGGAGAAGATCAAGGACCGCCACCAACTCCAAGATGTTGATGTGTTGTCCTGGCTCTCTCCATGAGTAGGACATCAAGACTTTCCAAATCCAGTGACTGGGATCAATGCTCTGCCGGCACAGTTCACCAACGGAGTAAGGCATCCCCAAGTCAATCCGGATCTCAGCACCACGGTGTGTCCCATTGCGAGCTAACAAGTAGCTCAGCATCTCTTCGTCTGTCAGCCACTGTTGAGGGTCAATGAATGACCGCAGGGGCGCGACTGGTGATGGCAAGACCCGCTCGAGCAGGCTCACCACCCCAGGAACCCCCGCAGCCACACTTGCAAACCTCACTTTCCAAGGTTTTCCTTCTTGACCAGCTTTGTCTTCCTTGGCTTTCCAGACTTCCCAGAGCATCAGGCTGACATCCTTTCCAACACATTGCTCCGGCTTCAACACCAGGCCCACCAAGAGCCGAGCCACCACCATCGCTGAAAAGGAATTCCCAACCATTTGACCTCTCAGGTCTGCACTGAGCTTGGTTTTGGTATTGAGGTGTGTGGATTGGAAACCCATCATCCGGAGCTGCTCTTCGACTGCAGGCCTTCTGGGCCCATTCTTGTCGGTTACCAGGTTACGAGGCTCATATTGGTAGGGCTGGAGCCTGTAACTGTCTCCGCGCCACCGCTTCAAGGCCTTCTCTGTGGCCTGGTCAAACCCGGCAGGATCTTCTGGAGGGCTCTGTCGAGCGATTGGCCGGGTGAACGTTGCAAACGGCTCTTCAGGTTCGGCCATCTTGGTGGTCCCTTCATTCAGGAACCATGTGAGCGGGGGACGTTCCGTGTCCACCTTGATTTGCTTCACCTGGTAGTTGTGACCTCTCAGAGTTCGCCGCGCGGCGACAGACAGATCATCTCCAGCCACAAGGTCCACCCCTGAAATCCAGTAGAGCCTGGGTCTTCGGCAACGCCCAATCTCAGCAGCCTCAACAAAGTAGGGCGTGTACCCAATCTTCTTGCTTTGGGCTTCGTAATCTGCATCATCCATGACCACATTTTCGAAAATCTCCACTACTTTCCATGGGGGAAGGTGCAACTTCTCTGAGCACGATCCCAACCATCCTCTGATTGCCAACATGTCGTCCAGCAGCTTGCTCGAAGCTCCTTCTGCTCCCTGTCGTCTAGGGTTCAGCACCGAGTGGTTGATGCATGGCCATCCTCCTCCAATGACCACCTTTGTGGCGCGCGGAAATCGCCTTCTCCATTCCAAGACCTGCTCCTCCGTCACGGACTCAATCTTCTGAACCCAGATGACGTGGCGGCAGTGCTGCTTGTATACCTTACAGCACTCAGCCGAGGTATCAATTGCCACCACCCCAGCGGGCTCAAACCCAATCAAATCCAGTGCTTGCTTCAGGCCTCCCATGCCCGCAAAGCATTCGATCACTAGGGCATTCTCAGTAGCGGCTCCCTCCAGTCCATCACGCTCATGACTGAGGCTGTGAAGTCTTGCACTTCCCCAGGGGCTCAGGCCAGTAGTGCAGCAGGCTCCTCCGCCTTCTGGACTCGCGTCTGTCGCATACACTTGGCCTGACACTTTCATCTTGACGTCAAGCCAGTGCATGGGCAGTGAGCAGCATAGCAGCAAGAGCTCGTCGCGACCTTTCTCACTCAAGAGTCGTGGCCTGCTGGCATTCATTTCCACGTACAGCCTGTCAAACAACACTGCCAGCTGCCGGTTGTATTGCACCGAGTGCATGTTCTTTGAAACCACAGACTGCAGATTGGGGGAATCAGTACGGACCTCATCCCCCACCAACAGCCCAAGGTTAGCACTCAGAAGTGCCCGGCGGAAGCTCCGCGAGCTGCCAATCCATCCTTCCTCTCCAGCCACTTCGGCTCCCAAACTGGTCCAGCTGATTGATCCCTCAGCTGCTTTCTTGGGGTCTCTCCCTACAGTCAATTCCTCCATGGTCTCTCGCAATTGGAGTTGTTCATCGGTCGGCTGGCCTTCGTACAGCCCCCGGTCGGTCCTCCAGATGATCTTCAGCTGGTCAAAGTTGTCCACATAGAACGAAAAGAATGATCTGGGAGTTGCCAAAGGTTCCAACGGGCTCGGCTCGCCCATTCGAATAACTTGATTAGGCGCCAAACCTGCCATCTTGGCCATGTTCTCAAAGCCGTCCTGGATAAAGTCCACCACATTGTTCCACCCCATGGGTGCACTCTTCACTCGAGGGTAACCTTTCTCCACCTTTCCATCTTTGAAGGCCTGTCCTGAAGCCATCCTACTCAAACTGAAGAAGGCTCGCCATGCATATCCTGGCCGGTAGATATGAAAGCAGTGTTTCTGGTCCTCAGCGGCACATATGATGATTTCGTCCTCATGCAAGTAGAGGTTCCCCCACAGCGGGGCATAACCCATCTTCTCCGAAGCTCTCACTGGCATGCGTCTCTGGAACGAGTTGCCGGGGATCATGTTGATGATCAATCTCAACGTGCGGAGCCATTCTCCATCCTCCTTCAGCACCCAACTCTTGTGGACGCCAAACGCCCCATTACGAACTGGCTCCCCTCGATACTTGAGGGTCTCTGCCTCAACTTCCCTCTCAAGCATGCCTGCATCTACCAGGTGGCTCACGATCTTGTCCCACTCCTCCTGGCTGGTGACTTGCACCAACGCTGAGGTGCGTGGCCCAATGAGCTCCTCGTCCGGGATACGCAGCAGCGAAGGGTCATCCACATATTCCTTGACCGAGTCGCTCACCACTTCTGACAATGGGATCCTCGCCGCTTCACTCGCACCTGGTGTTGTGGGGAGTATTGCCTCCAATGTCAGAGGATAGGATTTCCCTACGTTGGGTCCTGTGTACATGTCCCCCAATGTCTCAGACGACTTCTCCCAGGTGTCTGCCCTGATCGCATCCTCCTTATCTTCTTCAATCCATTTCTTGCTTAAGCTGTCAAGTCGCTTGATGGATCTTTCCTGGCTCGCAGTAGGTTCCTTCGCATGAAGCATGCACTCAGACAGCATGCGACCACCTGCTCCGTGGCAGTATAGGTGGTTGATCACGAAGCACTGCAGCCAGGTCCATGCCTTCACACCGATTTCCTTTGCCTCACTGTTCAGCTTCCTCCAACTCTCACTGGTCACATCCAAGCGGCCACAGAGGACCTCCTTCACCGCTGCCTCAAAAGCCAGTTCTTCGTCGGTCATGATGGGCATTGGCAATGGGAGTAGCTCCTTTGCCAGTCGGTGAAAGTTCTCCAGAGCGCAGCAAGGAAGGGCACGCGCTAAGTTGCCCAACTCTCCAGGGCGGTCTTGAATGCCGACTTTTAAGACCACCCCCACAAGACTCACCGACAAGCTGAGCCCCAGCCCTCGCCGCATCATCTGCCTCCATGAGACCGGCGTCACGTGCTCTTTTGGAATCAGCCCAAATTCCTGAATCAACCAGTCGGCAGCTCTCAGGTCCTTTGAGCCAACATATAAGTGTTGACCCACCAAAGATATCCTCACTTTTTCCTTATCCAACTGACTGACAAACTCCTGGTGGTAGATTGAGGATTGAGGCACCAAACTCTTTGTGAGGGGTGCCAACATAAACCCCGTCCTCTCTCTTCCACTCAATGTCAGCAGCTCGCACTTCAATGCCATTCACCAACTTTAGGAGCCGACCTTCCCCAGACCGAGGATCAACCCCGGCCTGAGATTGGTCGACCCCCAAGAGCCGGCAGGCCACTTCCGATGCGGATGGTATCAATTCCTCTCCTAGGAATTGACAGCTGAGCCGCAACTGCTTCTTTACCAGTGCAGGTGGGTCTCCAGCGACATTGGCAATCATCTCAAAGAAATCCTGCTCTATCATCTTCCAGTTTGGGCTCTTGCCCAACGCAAACCTCCTGAGTCGATAGAGCGCCACCACCTCCGGATCCTGCATGAGGCTTCTGACCTTCTCTCGTGTTTCTTCAGACACTTCACATTCATTTAGGGCCCTTTCCATCGCTGGGTATTCTAACCCCCGCCGGGCCGCAGGTGGGCTCACCACCGCTTGCCCTTCTTCCCTTTTCCTCTTCCTTTCTTTCCTTTCCCTTGGCTCTGACCTCCTCCGTTTTCGGGTGGTCCTCCGTCTTTTCCTTCCGCTTCCTTCTTGTCCATGTTCACCCCCCCTCCGGGGGAGGGATACCAGGCGGCCCTCCTTTTCGGCCATTGGTCCCTCTGCAGCCTCAGGTCGCTCTTGTGCTCTTGCTGGGCTGCCTTCAACTCCTGTCGGAACCAGGCTCGTTGCTCCTCCTCCGGCACAATGAGCTCCAGCAAGTTTGCTTGACTCCATTGGCCCTGAGCTATGAACAGCTCGATGCTCTTCATTCTCTGTACGGCCACGTCGAGTGCACGGAGAGAGTCGTTCATGGCCATGAGATCCACCAGCGTCGCCAACGTACGCAGCTCTCTCAGATTCCGCAGGCCAATCGCTGCTTCTGGATGGCGCACCATGTAGATCTGGCTGAGGTATGCGCGCGCTACCGGCGGCATCTCCTGCTCTGTCTCGGCCGTTCCCCCGCCTATTGAGCGGTTCAGGAGCTCCTGAAAGCGCCGGAGCGTTAGGTCCGCCAGAGCCCCTGGCTTCTCCTGATGCAACCGGTGCAATCGGTCTACTCCCTGTGGCAGGGCGGCCAACTGAAAAAGCGACCCTGAACTCGATGAGGAGGTCTCGTCGTCCCCTGAGTCACTTTCCTCGGAGGACCCCTTGCTAGCTTCCTCCTTTTTGGACTTCCGCTTTTTCTCTGAATCTCTTTTCCGCTTCTTTTTCTTCTTCTTCTTCAGGTCGTCTCCTTTCAGCTTGAGCGCACCCCCGGTAGGTAGCGGTGCCTTCCGCTTATTCAGAACGGCTCGAAGGCCTTCCTCTCGGGCATCCACTGGTGCCTTCTTCTCCTTCCTTTTCTTCTTTTCCTCCTTATCATCGTCGATCTGCCTCTCTCTCTTGTCGCCACGATCTCCTGCAGTTCCAAGTGCTCGAGCCAGCCCTGCAATGCCAGCTTCACCCACCTCCACTTCACCATCAGCTCGGCTCCCACGGCCACCATCCCCACCCCCCACAGCTGGAGAGGCGAGGGCTGGGACCGCAGGCGCCTGCGTGGCGTGGAGTGCCAACAAGCTTTTGGCCTTCTCATTCTTTTCATCGGTCATCCACGGCAGCCTCACGTATGTATCATCCGGCAAGACCCTGAAGACGTCAACGTGGATGGGGTCCCGGTACAGCGTTTGCTCCCCACACCGATGGGCCGCCACCTGACAGAAGTGGAATGGCAGCACCTTCGTGGGGTAATGATTTTGTACCCACCACTCGTAATATCCGTCTTCAATGGCCAGAAAGAATCCTCGCCAGGTTTGACCTTTGCCAGCCTCATCCTCTATGGCGCGGTGCTGCAATTTCACAACACCTCGGCCCTGCTGTCGCCCCGCATCGTCATAGAGGCTCACCTCTACAACAGCGCTGGGTGTCAACCCAAGCCAGTGTTCCTCACCAGCTTTTCGTCCTATCTTCCGCCAGGGCTCGGGTTCAGCCATCCCGACACCTGGGCCCTTTCACCCGGTACGGACCGGGGTCCAGGTTCCAGATGCCAGGTGACCTTACCTCCACACCTGGCACGTCTTCCTAATTGAAGCTGAGGAAATGCTGCGGATAGGGCGAACATGCCATTCACACTATCATTACGGGGGACCATTAGCTAATATATCTACAATCAAATGAATAAAACATGAATCATATAAAACGGGCTGTTCCAGGCCCTTTTTCCAGCAACCTGGCCCTAATATTTGGCCAAACCGCTGAATGCATGTCGCCGGTTGATTCGACTTTGCCCTTCTCGGCCTCTTTCACCGAGGCCATTCCGCCTGGCCAGTACTCCAGGGACAAGTTTGGTAAATGGACAACGTCTCATCCAGCATCATTCAGGATTGTCTTGGCAGGTCTGGCCTGTATCATAGAGAATCTTCTTGTCAGGGTCATTCAGGACCTCGTACGCATCTCCTTGGTTCATCTTGGTTCTGCGATGTTCTGGCACTACCAACTACTGCTACGTCGATGAAATTGAAACGTGGTGGCCAGGCACCATGAAATTCACATAAGCAACATAGATTAACATAGATTAACACAATTACAGTAGATGTATATAATGATATATTTAAATATTGTAATTATTGTAGATATGACACGCCACAATGCCCAGCTTCTGATTTCCGCAAACTTTGCCTTTGACGCTTCATCTGGACTCTTGTCTGGGTGATACCTGAGTGCTGCTTGCTGATCCAGGCTCCATCCAAACAGCGCATGACTGCGATTGACAGCTAGCAAGCAAAACCATTCCATATTCCCGTGGTGCTTTCATCAAGCTTCAACCAGACTGTACTGTACTGTACTGTACTGTACTGTACGTGTATTTTCATGTTTTCGACGGGGAAGAACCTCAGTTGCAATATGTTACAATGTAAATCTTCTTCAGGCAAGTAGCTGAATGGACAACTTCCTGTAGACCTGGTCAAGAATGATCGGTCTCGCAACATCTCACAGATGATCCCAGTTCCAGCCTTCTTGATAGTGGCCTCATCTGCATCCTCTGGAATTCCCAAAACCTGGTACAAGTCCTGTCGCGAGTCGGATCGGAATCAAAATCCACCTGGCTTTGTTTCAGCTGTGAAGAAAGGATTGGACACCTTGGAAGCATATGCATGCCAATCATGCCAGGAGTAATCATTTGAACGTGTACTTAAATTCTTAAATTGAACTCAAATATAGGCCGAACAAACAGAATACCCGCTGAGGGATCTTTTCACGTGCTATTGCACCTACTTCTGTAATTACCATCGGTTTTTGCAAACTGAAAATGTTCAGCACGCTGTGTCTGCACCTTGTCCAAATCTACAGCCTCGTGGTCGAAAATGCGGTGGAACGTGAGCGTCAGCTTCCTTGGCCCAAAAAAAGGGGGGACAAAGAGCGGAATCTGTAGAGGATTCCTGGATCACTTGTTGGACCATCTTGTTGCATCTTGTTGCTACCCAGCCACTCTCGGGAATTTCGCCTAGAAAAGCCTGCGCAAAAGTGTGCCATCTTTGCATCCCTGTGATTCCCTGTGTCTCTGATCTGTGAATGCAAATCACACCCATATTCAACACGCCTTTGAGCCGTTGACCTTCAAGCCGTGATGGTTTCCCATCCTGGGTCCATCCACATTCTCACAGACCCCTTTTCTATGTTGACTCCAAATTCACAACAACATGCTATGGACAATTATCACCTTCTCGGTATGATGACATCATAAATTCAGCTGGACCAAAAAAGTTCTGCCACGCTGCCGGAGCATTCAACCTGATCTCTGACAAAAAATGCCACGGGAAGGACTGCAGCAGGCAGGAATTGCTCTCATGAACCAGCAGGCATTGTATGCATTTGCAAGCCAAGGCACTCAAAAATGCCAGCACTGCCAATGAAAAGGTATAGTTTTCCGTTCTCTGCTGTCCATTTGCAGCCTTGATTGCACCTCAAGTTGCATTCTGCATTAGCCATCCCGCCAAGCTCCCTGCACCCACATGAAGTCTGACATGAGATCAGACTGAGTAAAGATGCCCGACATTTTGTGGTGGAATGACCCAGGCCCTAGCCAAAGAATTCGAAAAATGGAACCTTGCTCAACTGCTGGACAGGCTCTGCTGGATGGGTGCGTCAATCTCTTGATCACGCGTCAGCTTCAGCGTAAAACCATCGTTGTTCCACTGCCATTCCTCGGTGGAAACATGTCGGAAGCCCATCGGCATGGTCTCATGTTTTGGAGTCATACCACTGTTTAGGGCTTTAGGGGTCCTCATTTTAGCAATGCAGCGCTGCCCGTTGACTATTCACAAACTTGGCCCAAGCTAGAGCAGTTGTCACTATCAACTATCCTTAGAAAACCTCCTAGACGTTACTGTACCCATCAGTACCCCGACCTACAGCACACACAAACAGTAATGGTATAGCTGCACTACTTGAGGCCCCCTTACAACCCAAGGCTATCAGCACAGGCAAGAGACAGTTCCCTTTAACCAGGACATTGTCTTCGACACCTCGTCCGGCCGGTGGCTTGTAATGCCAAAGGGATGTGGGAAAAGTGGCTCGGGTCCAACCGATCCCAAGGGTGGTGTGTGCACACAAGTAGGAATGCAGTGTGATTCAGGCGTCGACATCATGTGATTAATATGTCTACACATGCGGTTATTTGTAGACGTTCACAGTTTTTCATACTTTTTCCACCTTTTGCTATCCTATTTATCTTGCTTTATCTTTGTATCTTTGCAGCCGTTCAGAGGCACCTCGTCTGACACCCCCGAAGGCCACTGCACTGGCTCAGGTGCTCGCCTGCCTGCAAACAAGACTCTTGAGAAAATCTGACCATTGTGTTTCAAAAAAAAACAAATCATCAGGAAATCAGCCTGCAGTGTGTGGCATTTGCTTCATGTTTTGACTTCATGATTTTGTGGACAGTGTATTTGCCTCCACCCATCTCGAAATGGAATTGCCCACCTGCCACCGCAAACGGCAAAAAATGGTAAAGCAAGGACAATGTAATGATGCATAATGAGCACAGGAGTGCCGCCTACCTTCAACCCTGTGCCCTACTGTACCTCCACCGAAAATTTCTTCGAAGAATGCGCATGCTGGCTTTGCCCAACACAACCTGAGCCAAACATTTCGTAGTCTATCCCATCCCTGTCACACTATAGAATCACTACATTCAATATGACAAATTCAAAACGCAAACTGGGACTTTGACAGGCATAGAGCAATCAAACCTCTGGATCTGCTGCAAGCCTGCGATGCTCAGTGCTCAAGTCTGTAAATTGCCTTTTTTGAAGTCAGTGCCCAAACTTGATCAAACATGCATGCTTAGCAAACTTGGGACATCTCTCCTCACTTCCCTAGATTCTTGCTTGCAATGAATTTCTGCAGGATTCTTGCCAGTTTGTTCTCCGCACTGCATGCCAAGGAACTGCTGATTCAGCAAGCTCTGCCACTCTCGCCATTTCGAGTGCTAGCGGTATCAGCTGGGCCGAATGGAAAAGTGCTTTAGTTTACCAAAAGAACATCTTGGAGATTCTTGGAGAGTTTCTATGTCTCAGTTGAATTGGTACCAGTTGATTTACGACTCCCATGCAATGATTGCCATGCTGCTGAGGGCCGCATGTTCTGCCATGTCTTCATCCTGTTTGCTTTTCAAGTTGGCGCCTGGGGCTTAGTCGTGACCTTGTCTCCTCTGCTTCAAACTGGGTAAAACATTGTAAAACTCAGTTTGAGTCAAGGACTCGGTTGACAATACTCCTGCCAATAAGGTCATGCGAGTCATGTGCGGGCTCCAGTCCCTCTTGGTCCAAAACTGCTCTGCCCAGAAGAAACACACATTTTTGTTGGCTTAAAGCAATAATACAAAACACACTTCCTTACAGTTGCTTGCCAGGCGCATGTCCGGCTCATGTCTGTGGTCTACGGATTTTTGAGGTGCTTACGACGGCCTTGCGCGGGACCTCAGACTGGAACATGGTTTAAAAATCTTGACACGTACTTTCAGTCTCAGCGAACTTGTGAATAAGGGGGAACGATGTCGGCAGCAAGAGTGTTCTGGATTTGTTACGAAGGTGTACGTTGACTGTACGACTGTGTAAATACAGTGTCTACAATCCAAGCCACTTTGCTTTTTTTCCACCTCCAAGGGTAATGATTGAATGACTGCTAGTGAGCTGTGGATATCAGAGTGCCAGCAAGATCCTGTAGAAGTCTCTCCCTCTCTCTCTATCTATCTCCATTGCCTTCAGACCAAGTCAGCCTCAGCCTAACTGAGGGGCGAGACAATATGTAGAAGATTAATCCATATACCGACTCCGACGACAGCTGAAGCATTCAGATCAACCCGGGGCCTCTTCCAGCTCTTGCCGCCGTTCTTCGGCAGCCTGCTTCTCAGCCAGCTCCTCTGCTTTCTGTTGATGCCTTGACCGATTCTCACATATTCTCACGATTCTCCTTGTGACCTTGTGGACAACAACTGATTCACCCCAGTCGTATCATGTTGTAACAATGTCCATATTCCGGTGGAGTGAGTACTATGAGTACCCATTGCATAACCATGATATACCGTACATAAGATTAAACAAGATTAAACACATAAGATTACATAAGTATGTATAGATATTACGTATGTATGATTAGCATTGTATAGCTGACCAAAGGGCCTGGAGTCCTTGTAGTCTGAAGTTCAACAGGTTCAACAGCTTGAGGATGCTTGAGGGCGGGACCACTGCACCAACTTTTCCCGCTGTCTCTTTCGGTAGACAGCTTCGCGCTGCCGCCTCCGCCATCGCCGTGCTCACCACGCTGCCCCTGCCCGATGTGCTACCCGCTGAGGCCACTGCCTTTGCTCTTCTTCCTCCTTCTGTGCCCTCTCCTCGGCCTCTTTTGCACAGGTACAGGCATAACAAACAAACGGAAAAATGGTGAAACATGGCTGCATTGATGGTTGATGATGTACTGATATCAAACATCAATGCCAGCTACCTCTCTGGCTTGCCCTCAGGCCTGGGGTTGAGAGACCTCTGTTCCTGAGTTTGCCTCTTCAAATCCACTTGCACGCCACTGTAGTCCTGCTATTGATCCCGGCCTGTGATTTTTCAGATGCTTGCTGGTTCTTCTTTTCAGCCCAGTCCTTGGTCTTACGTGCAAAAAAACAACCGCGCAAGGACAAGGAGGCTGAACGTGGTCAAAGCAATGGATCCCTGCCAAGTCTGGCTGTTGCTATGCCAACCACACTCTTCACAGTTGCGCAGGCAATGCCAAGAATATCAGGCTCTGATTTGCTTCGCTAACGATGCTCCATCTAGCAGTTCCTCGAACTCCATTCAAGGCGAGTAATCTTGCAGCATTGCTGCAACAAGAGTATCGAGTAGAGGTATGAGAAGTATCGGCAAATTATTGGCACGTATTCAGACAGTATTCAAATCAATTACCACAGGCTTACTGTGGCGTCACGCTGTTGCCCAGCGGAGGCTTTTGCGTCAGTGGTGCCTTTCGAGAGATCGAAGTCCTTAAAGCGGCCATGCCATTCAGCTGGTGCAGCAGTAACATGCGAATTATACAGCTTTGATAGTCTTGTTCAGGCCTTTGCGCCAAAACTCTTTGGAAGCTTTCATAATTTTCATATCACTGGTCACTCCATGATCTCCATATCTCCATGACACGTCAAGAAGCCGAGTCACGATGGTCAAATCTTCAGGGTCGAAGCTACAGTCGGGAGTGCACTCAATGGGCGGGCTCTTGGCAGAAAAAGAGTCTGGCCAAAACTCGGCGGAGTCTCTTTGCCCTGCCAAATGCAATGGAAATTGAGGCTTCCTGCGGTCACTAGCAACTTGGGAATAAAACGTTTAAAATAAGTAGCAGCATGCCTCAGCCACTTTCAAACTTTTGCTTTGTTTGTTCCATTCATCATGTGAGGCTGTCTGTTGGCTCATTGACCCAACCCACGAAAGCAGGCTAGAAAGTGCAAACAAAGCTTGGAGAACAGGCAGTAAGATGAGAAAGCAATAGCAAGCAAGTAGGTAAGGTGAGGAAGCTTCTATTCGACAATTCTCTGCCTCGGGGAATCACGCCCATAACCTTCAATGCTTCGGCCACTAATTGCGAGCAAAAGAAGTCCTAAAGCTCCGCGGGCAATTCAAATGCAGCGCTAAATCGTGAGTGATATCAGTTCTCCAAATCTCCAAGCGACCGATGGACCACATATGGAGACTTTGCATGACAACATCTGGCTGCTTCCTCAAGGGCAGCATGCCCATGTCCTCCTGGTCCCCTCCAGTGGAGCCTCTGTGGTTCAATTTCCCAACCTTGGCATGGCATGGCTGACATCATCTGACATCATCTAAGCTTTTGAAATGCTTTTGGACTGCTCGTATCTGGTGACATTATGTGACATTCATCCAAGCCACAGAGATGTTGTAAGGCTTTCCAATGACATTCCCAACCCACTCCTGCAGTACCCCCAGAGTTTCTGCATTCCGGTTGCACCGCACTCCTTAGCACAATGATGCAACATATTGAAACGTGTTGAATGTGCTACGATGCGACTTGCAAGGCAAGTTGCAGAACACCACGCACGTGGAGAAACTGCAAAGTCAAAGGTATCGTCCAAAAGTAATGAGCTAGCGACAGCTGAGCCTTTCATTTCCACATTGGTTGCAAGGCACCAAGTGTACCAGCCTCAACCTGTTGCCTAGTGATGGATCCTGTGGTTTGAGCAAGTGCTCAAAAGTTCATACATCCGTAGCCGTAGCTGGTACATACGACGCAGGCGGAGCTGTTTACAAATGGTTTGGAGAGCGGCCTTCTGATCCATCAACCTTGGTACTTGAGCACCATATTTCAGGGATGCCCAAGGCTCTTCGAAGCGCCAACTCTGGATAGAGCTTCCTGAGCGCCAATGATTCTCTCAAAACATCCTGCGATGATTGATGAATATTGATGAAATGATTGGTGATGTTTGGTGATGGACCGTTTCTCTTTTCAACTTCTACTGCTTGGAACCCAGTGAGTCACCTAGTGAGTCCTAGTGTCTGCCAATTGTTGGCTAGGAAGTTGGACCAGGTGCACAGGCCAACGCCTTCATTGCCTTGCCGGTCCAACTTCATCACGTGTCACTCTGCTAAAGCAGTTGAAACAATTTGATTGGAATTGCCCAAAAGAACTCACAAAGGAACTTCCAATGTTTCACGGGTGTATGCCATGGTTTCATATGTTTTCATGCATTCATGCCATCATCCTACATCTCTCTGGTATGTCACAGGGCTGCAAACCTTGTCAAAGACATTGTAATTGTATGTCAACAATTTCACACAAAGTAACACATGAGTACAGTACCTGAAAGAATTGATGGAGTGGAAATGAACACCTACATCATCCTACATCCAATTGCACAGGCGTGAATTGATGTGAAATTACATGCAGCACTCCCTCTCTGCGTAAGGCTTCTCACCATTTCTCACCTGCCTGTTGCTTCTAAGATTGCAGTGGCACCACCTTCCAACTTCAGAATTAGACCTTGGCACGCCACGATCTGAATTCGACTGGACGGCCACACTTTCCTGGTCGGATCGCGGAAAACCACGCAGCCACTTGGGACTCAACCGACGTGGTCGTAGCGCCCGTTCATCGCAGCTGCTCTGGAGGCAGCTCGAATCAGCTGCGGGAAGGTGCCTTGAGACTTGAAGAGCAGGACATCTCCAGTGTCCTGGGCTGAAATTATACCAGTATATACCAGTAATTAAGCTTTATAAGGGATGGCTTGGATGCAGCAATGATACAGTAGTTTTGATGTAATTTGGATGATCTGGATATATCTGGATGACTTGGATGGTTGAATCATGTTCCGGCATGGTTTGAGCATGCTTGAACCATGAACTCGCAAGGCCCCAATCGGAATCAGACCTGTGGATCCGAATTGATAAGGCCACCTTGGCAAATGCAATTGGAACATATTGGAACCAAGATGCGGCGATGTAATCGAAAGTTTCTGGCGTGATCCGGCTCACCTTCCTTAGATGACGGGTGCTCTGAATATCTGAAGAGCTTCCGAACTTCCTGAGACATCTGAAAACCAATAAGGTCCGTGATTCCACCACGCTGAGCGGAAGCGGCCATAGTTGAAAGTGTTGAGCCTTGCAAGACTTCGGCTGTTGAGGAAAGTAGGAAACCGGGAGTGTTTCTGTAGAAAAAGTATCAACGAGAGCATGGCATCCATGATGCCATATACCAATGCCGCAGCCACCTTTCTGAGCATCAACTTTGCCGAGGCCCATGCTTGTTTGCATTCAGTCTGAGCCGCCCCTTGTTCCTCCTTGCTGCATCCTGACATACGATTCTTGATCTCATGCGTTGTCGGCAATTATGCCAGCGTTGAATTGTTAGAATCAAGCCAAAGGACTTGCAAAGACAACCCCTGGAACAACCCAGCCATACCGCCATACCCATGATGCCTCCATGTGGGCTAAAATATCTTCGATCCATTCCTCACCAACCTCCTTGGAGGAGACACCTCATATCTGTGCAGGGTGTGAATGGAGGAGAGTTCTGACTACTAATGCCAACGACCCTCTTGGGGGAAGGGGTAAATGGTACAAATTCGAAGGGGCCTTTATTTTAATGTTTTCAATTTTGATTCTTGACAACTTGGAGAGAAATCTGAACGCCGCTGTTTTAGAACCTTTCCCAGTGATTCTTGAAGGCTCTTGGCAAATGCAAGAACATTTCTGATATTGGCAAATCCATCCCGCATGGTTTTTTCTAGAGTGATACATGTGATTTTGCAAAATATATGAGTGTATGACAGCTTACGCCGCCTGAAATTTGGACCCCCAACCCAGTCATGTATCGGAAGAGCATTCTAACATCGCAAGCAGGCAACAAACACAGCTGACCAGTAACCAATTGCACAAAGCAATACATATCATATATATATAATATAATTATATATATATATAAATATTATTATTATTATTAATATATATATATATATATTTGTTTAAGTTGTGTGAGCACGTGAAACTATTTTTTGTGAAGTGCAAAACTGGGATCTACAGGTAGTACAGGTAGCTAGATTTTGGAGAGAGAGAGAGAGAGAGATAGAGCCGAGGGAGTCACATAGAGTGATATAGAGTCAGATGGAGATACTGTAGATAAATAGATGCTTGCATATGGAAAGATAGATAGATACGTGGAGGATAGATGCAAAGAGGGACAGACGGATAGACAAAAAGTGGAAAACCGGAAAATATGAGTCCACAAAGATGTCATGAGCACACCAAGTCGAACATTTTGGGATAAGTTGATGAAGTTGTTTCGTTGCTCTGGTGATAAGTTGAACATATTTGGATTGTTGTGCAACAATGTAGGGGAACGGGTGTAACAATGCATCAAACCATTGTTTCATGTGTATTTATAAAAGTACATTTGCACAAACATATGTCTATTCAGTATTTATTCATACATATATATGCATATATATATATAATATTTACATTTGTGTTGTCAACATTGTTTTTCCTGGAAGTTCCAGGGGCTGCCTCCATGGGATCGTAGTTTGAAAAGTACGATTGCGGGGCATTTGTCCGCTCTAAAACTGCTGGGAACCATATGTTGTTGGCCCTTGAAGCAACCCAAGTCCTAGAAGATGAGCACGATAGAGTCGTTTTTCAATGTCCAGTTGAAGTGTCATCAGTTGGTTCTGCCTTTTTTCCCCTTGCTCGTTTTTCCCATGGGCATGCTGTGGCATCTAAAACCAAACCATCCTTCAATCAGTGCCATGCGACTGTGCATGAGCAAATTGCCCTGGAGATGTGTCGTGAATTGGAGGATTTTATATGACATGGCATTTCCTCCGCAAATCAAATCAAAGCCTCGAATGTTGGATGCAGGAATCCCGATCCTACACACCAACCTTGAATTGGGCCCATCAGCTTCACACCATTCCCAAGAGTTTCTGTCAGATAATCATACTGAAGCTCTTTTCTGACCTCGCAAGAAGATACATACTGTACAGAGGATTGATGGGCTTCGTGTACACTTTTTCCTCCCCATGTGGCAACCCATGGCGCGGACTTGCGGAAGACCATGGCACGAATCTACTTTTCAAAACATGGTTCATGAACAATTTGCTCCTGTCGATAAGTCGCAACAGCTTTTCAAAAATTCTTGAGACTTTATTGGAAC